TGAAACTGATGATGAGAGAGTTGGCTGGCATATCTGCCAGAGAGGTTTCGTTCTACAGATAATTAATACCAAAAAAGTCTGGGTTTTATTCTTTTTTATTTCCAGTTGTCTATTTTTTAAACAAAATCTCCTCCTCCTGCTCCATCAACATATCTCTCTGTTTAGAGGTTATATGCTTAAGAATAATAAAAGACATCAATGTCTCTGATAAAGTTGGAGAATGAGGATTTCACTGAACCACTGTTTCATATCAAGGCTGCATTTCTATGTCAGAACATTAGAAATACACGAATCAGAATTTTTAAATGGTCCATTTTGATGAATGAGCTCAGGACACATTTTATTTAATTACCTCAGTTTGGAATCCCCCCTTTTCTCCAGGAGGATGAAAGTGTTCAGATAGCCAATTCCTGTTAAAATACCCTTCTATTTTAAGAAGTTGTCTTCCCCACATTGTCTTGCTGAGCTTTTGCATTTGTTCATATTAGGTTCTTGCAGCGGCTGTTAATTAGCAAACTAGTGCAATTGTGTTTGGTTCTTATGGCTTTGACTGTATTCCAAGTCAGCACTAAAGTTGTGTATTGCAGAGAATCTTCTGTACCACACCCTCTTTACCTTGCAGTTTTCTACTGTATTTATTTTTCCTTTCCTTTTTTCTTTTTAATTAGAATTTTCTATTTTATTTTCCTATTAATTCATTTGACTGCCATTTTTTCACTCCTTCTCCTTCCCAAAGGATGCTCTCCTTTTACCACTTGCTTCTGAAAAGATTTGCTTTGAAAACTTGTTCCTATACACAGATCTAAAAAGTTACAAGAAGTAAGCCAGAAAGGTGTTCTGTGAGGAGTGCAGCTGTTCTTCTCCCCCAGGAAAACTAATTCATCAGCTCTTTGAAACAGCCTGTCTTAATTGTTTAGAAACTACGAGCTATGGATTTTCTTTGTTAACGTAAGTGCCCTGCATAGAAAAATCATCTAGTGTTACAAGTAGGAGGCAACCCCTTGGCACCCATGATTTCAGCTAAGGTTTTTATTCCAGCCTTAATAATTTTATGGATTTCAGGTGTTTAAGATCCTATTTTCAGGTTTTAGAGAAAACAATCTCTTCCCTTCCTAGTAAGATTTTATAAAATTCCTTTACACTGTGACAGACCCACTTATAAACTTTTTGGTTTTTTGGTTTAATCATTTTGAAAAATCAGTTTCTATGGTCCTCACTTCAGTTCAGAGGAGCTTTCCTTTCTGTATTGATGGTACCCACCCCAACCCTGCTGACAAACAGTAATCCAGATATTTGTTTCAGTCACATGAAGCCCATGGGGGGATGGAGAGGGGTACAGTCTTCCCACTGTCTTTGGACTGACTGGGCTGCAGCACCAAATGTAACCCACATCAGAGGCTGGCCCCAGCACTTCTTCATTCCTTGGCATATCAATAGCTAGACAGCTATTATCTGACTACATCTTATATGTGGTTACACACCTAATCACACAACCCCTGTGGAGAAAAAAGCCAGTTGCTAAAATGTTATAAATTTCAAGATACTGTAAGAAAATCTGAATGTCTAATATCTCCAACACAGTTCCAATTTTCCTAATGCATGACTCCACTCACCTTACCTAAATATTCACTGATAATTTTCTTCCATCATTCGCAACTCTGTAAGCTTTTAGGGACAGTCGTCGTAAATCAGCATTTCATTGTTTCTGCCTATGACCTCCTTACAATAAAAAAGATGTTATCAGTTAAAAAGTAAGAAATGCAGTATGGTCTGAAGGGCACCATTGTAGAGAATACTATCAAACTACTATATAAGGCCCATGCAAATTGACTGCTGTTATCTATTTCATAGATGGCAAAAAGCTAGCAGTAGTAAATGTACAGCTGCATAAAAAGGCAGTGATAATACAGGAAATAAAAGCCTCTCTAATCCCTAGTAGCAATTTGCACTAAACAATAGGAATAAACTCCCTGTTAAAATTTTGTTCTAGAAATTTACAATTGCCTCCTCTTCTTGTCCTGCTACAGTTAGTTCTGGGATCCCAGTTCATTTTGCTAGCAGACATGACAAGCAAATGACAGCAGGTACATACAGGTAACTAAATGCATGTGACACCTATGAAGGACACGAGTATCCTCCAAACCCCATCCAACTGTAACAGATTTCCTTATTTCCTTTGAATAAGATATGTTAAATCAGCTTTTATCTAAATAATAGCTTCAATAAGTCATTTTTTATACATCTTAAATTCTCATTGAATAGATCTCTTTGCAAAGTATCAAGGAATTCAGTCAATATTTAGCTGTAGTGAATAGCATGACTTGAGTGGCTATACTGATGTCTCGTGACCTTACAAACAGTGGCAGAGGAATGAAATTCTAGTCAAAGGTCTTCTTTGAAAATGGACATTTTTCAAATAGGAGTCAAAATAGTCTCCTTTCTTTATTGTCTCATAGAAGCCTTCCACATAGCTGTGGTTATCATATTCTGATAAGTTTGTGCTCCATTTCTGCTGCAGTGAATCCCACTCTGTGGCAGGCAGCTTGCATCCCAGCCAGTCCAAGATTCACCTGCAGAAGGGCACTTTTGCCAAAGCCTGTGTAAAAGGATGGCATGAAAGCAAAGCCAGAAGCAGAGACAGACTGGCCCACACAGCCTGACCTGTCTCCTCCTGAACATCTATTGAAACTGATTGATTTAATGCCTTGCATCTGCCAAACTGTCATTCAAGCCAGAGGGGATTTGGGTGAAGACAGAGGAAGCATTGTAAAAATGAGTTTGCGCATTAGTTTACTGAGGAAGCTTTTAACTCCTAGGCACAGCAAAATTGGCTTGTTGGAAAACCTGTGCCTGCACTAGAACAGCTTCACTAAATGGGGAACACGAAGGGAAGGGGGGAAGTGCTATTTGAGGAGTTAGTAGATTTCTTCTCTTGATTTGTGCCTGAAAGAAAAAAATATCCCAGCTGTCTGCTGCATTGTGTGAACATATACATGCATTTAAATTACTTATATCATTACTTACAGATGTAATTGTGAAATATGTTCTTTTGCATTCAAAATTAGGGGCAGAACAGATGGTGAAAATTCAGTTTAAGGCAATATGTCCATTAGAATAACCCATACTGTTTATATATTATAACAATAGCAGTCTTCAGCATAGTTGAGATTTCTGGCAGTGCTAGATTATGATAGAAATACAAATAGGCTGTAGGACAAAATTCAGTATGGCTGAAAGTTCATCCTGAAAAAAAATTGCTGATTTCTCTTTGGTGATCATCAACAGATGAACTCAATTCTGCTTCCTCCTGCCTTTGCATTGTTGACCTCGTTGTGGCAAAAAGTGAATAATAAACTTTCTGGAGTTCATGGCACAAGAAAGCCTTCTCCATATTCAATTCACAGAGACCCTCAAAAGTTTGCAAATTCCTGTGCTAGAATAATTTAGGTCTAAAAGAGTGTACATATTATAAGCATATTTTTAATATGGAATATACAGGTATGTATCCATATATATATTCTTGCTATAGAAAGGAGCCACATTAGGAGTAAACAAATCTCAGCTTTTGCCTCTGGAGTGTAAGTTTCACACCCTCCTGAACATGAAGAAAAGCTTGCAAATGTGAGCCAGGTGCTCCCCAAAGGCTTAAAAAGCAGCAAGCTGTTAAGCCTACCACAATGTTTTTAAAAAAATGTTACATAGCTTGAAGCTCTGCTCAGTTTTTGCTAATAACACTGAGTATTCCCACCACTTTTCAGTCTTGAACAATAATTTTTCTAAAGCCAGTCCAATGACTATTAAAAAAAGGAAAAATTTTATAAAAAAGAAAAGGTGGGTTGTATTTCAGACTGAATCACCTGCAAGTAAAGCACCAACAAAATATTCCATGTCCTTCATTTGCTTGGCATCCAGCACAATAAAAATAAAATAACATTATAACAGCCATGAATCTTATGTCTTGCCATAAAATCTGGCACACTCTACATCACTTTGGATAAGTTATTTCTATTCTACTTTGTTCACTTCAACATGGTAAAGTAGTTAACAAGAACATTTATCCTTTTCCCTTATTCCATCAGTCCTGACATTTCAAGCTATAATTCCCCCTGCATTGAGTATACATGTTTTCTGTTCATTCAAGCAAAAAAAAAAAAAAAAAAAAAAAAAAGATGCTTAACTTTCAAAGAAATTATGATGGTTTGTGAGAAGTTTAAAGAAAGACAAGATTTGTCTTTGGCATTTGTACAGCACTGCGCACAACAAGAATCACACCTCAAACACATTGTATTAAGAAAGGATTAGAATGGTATGTCTTCATGTCTCATACACGAAAAGGAGAATTTACTCCAAGCAAGACAGATGTAGGAACTCTTAAGCAATAAGCTCAGTATCATACCTACTGGAATTTGATAAAATGCATTTATCTGTGGGGCACTGTGCCTTTAAATCCTACTCATAAATACGCAACTCTTTTCAGAGTGTTTCTCCCACAGGCTGCTAGAACAGCTGAGAGTCAGAAGATTATAAGAGAAGACTGAAAGTACTTAATTTTTTTATTCCTTTAAACATTTAAGACATTTTAAAGACTCTAAGTTCATCATCAGTAGTGTTAATAGGCAAGCAAAAATAAGCATTAACCATGAAAGTAACAAAGTTTTAAACCAGTATCCAAATGCATGCATGAGAGTGGGAGGAATGACCAAGTTTGAAGGTAACACTGTATGAGAGGACAGCAGTGCTTCATGAGGTACTTGTATCATATTAATGTTTAATTACACAATGTACATCTTCCACTGCATCATTTTTAGGGGCTGAGAAGTGGCTTTTTCTGGGTATTGACTCAAAGCTTGACTTCCTCATTTGATGTTTACTAAGTTTTGCCATCCTCTAAAAGTACCTGGGATAGGTTTGAATCTTAGTATTATTTGGCTATAGTACAAACAGTCAATGTACCATCATCTTGTCTCTCTTTCTCTCCCTCTTTTCCAGTAGCACATAGCAGTTTTTGTGCATTTGGGCCCTCTGTACAAAATGTCTCAAGCTGTTATTGAAGTAGGGGTAAGATAATTTATAACTTCTGGATTTACTGTCTATGATAGCACCAGATTTAACCACTTTCATGGTCTTTTTAGCCCCCTGCTCAACTGCTTTATTTCCAAGGTCTCACAGACTTTGTGGTGAAGTTGATCTAAAGGGTTGATGGAAGACTGTTTTAGACCAGGTCTCAAGTTTCCCTCTCCTTCAAAAGCACTAAAAGGCTCCTGCTTTATGATCTATGCTTTTCAGGTTGTGTCTACATTTTCGTAACCTTCTAGATCCAGATGACATCTGGAGGAAAGTATTTGACTTGTCTGAATTCTCTAGTTCTCCTAATTACTTTTTAAGAAACAGGATTATTAATCATCTACCTAAAACAGCCAGTAACCCTTCCAACACAGATTTAATTACTAAGAGGTCCAAACAGAGCAGAGCACTCTCCACCTTTTAAGTTGGACAAGTGAAATCAAATGTTTTATAGCAACAGCAGAATCCTCCATTGATCTTAGAACAGCTGTTAATAAAGCCAGGATCAGGAGCAGAGCCATTAATTCAAACAAGAGTTAACATGGTGTAAATGGGAAATGCCACTATTAGCATTGAAATGGTCACCATTTGTCTTAAAAATACCAGCTTTTAAGATACAAAGGTGTCCAACACCCTCTTTTTAATTGTTTAAAATGTGGTGTTGTTTATGTTAAAATGCATCACTGAAAAATGGAAAAAGAAAAGCCACTGGAGAACTTGTGGAAGCTGTGGATCCACTTGCTTATTAGGTGACTCCTGATAATGGGAAGAGTGTGTGCATCCATATGCTACTGTTATACTGCAGTTAACTTTCGGTAACACTTTTTGTTAAATGGCAATAGCAACCTTTAATTAGGATTTGGGGTTTGGTTCTGAAATTGCCATACACCTGCTTATTCAAAACAGATGTTTTATCTGCAGCGCAGTTTTGCTCATAATATGTTATGACGGCAATAGCAGCTTGCTCACAAAATACAAAGGAAAGGCAATATCTACTTGCTGTTTTCCCTTCTATGAGGTTAATAAAGTTGACTGATTAGGAATATCAGTTTGCTTTTACCAACACCTGACTATGTTATCGTGCCACATTATAATCTATGGGAGTGTATCATTCAATGCTCTGATACTGAGAATCTAATTCAGTTTTAGTCAGAAAACAATTATAAAATGACTTGGCCTTTATGTTGCACTTCATTTTTGCAGTGTTTCATGCATCATCAGCTTTCCACGTATTACACACTTCCATTCCCATTTTACAGACAAATGAAGCTGAAGCAATGTCCAGCACTGAAACCATGCACTGGCCTGGCCAGCCTCGGGCCAAGAGCACCACAAACACAGGAGATACAGTGAGGCTTCCAAAGCCTCACCCTCAGGTAAGGCAATTCCTTTCCTGGGTACACTCAGTAAATCCTAAAGCTTTAGGAAGAAAGGCAGAAAAGCCACGAAATGTCAAAGGGAATTGTTCTGGGCTCAGACCTGGGGTGGAGGAGGTAATGTTTCCAGAATCACTTGTTCTGCTTTTGTAACTGTCTTAAAAGGTAGAAAATGCTTCTGATGCTCAAAGAATGAATCAGTTCACTTTGGATTTCATCCATAATTTGCTTATAATGTGCAATCAATATTGTAGGTAAGATGAGGGTCCCACCTAGTCATTGAGTGGTCAGAAGCCTGGAGATGTCCCCATGTCATGAGTCAATTTTACCTCTAATGCACTGAGAGCTTGTCCGGCCACCATGGCCAAGCCACCTGAGCAATGTGTGTCCCTTCCCTGTGGAAGAGGGATGGAAGCAGAGGGTATGAGGTTTGCCCAGCCCAAGTGGCAAAGACAATGCACTGCCAAGGACTGAAGCTTCACAAAGCAGACAGCAGCATGCCTCTCTTTGCTTCAGCCTTGCAGCATTTAAGCAGAACGTTGTCATGCCTTCTGTGTCAAGAATGTAAAATTGTCATATCAAGGGGTAATGCAACGTGTCAATTTATTTTATAAAGATACCATGTAGGTTTCTAATGTGATATAGATATCAAGTTATACAACAAAAAAGGAATTACTAAGAAAAATTTTTCTGCCATATTAACTCTTTCTATGTAACAATAATAAAATAATATTTCAGTTCAGAAATGTGCATCTAACCTGAAAATTTTAAGCTTTATTTTCATCCAGTTTGGAAATTTTCTTCAATCTGACCTTCTATATTATATTTGTTGCCACCCAGAACAATAGTTTGGTGGTCTCTATCTGGTCTCTTGCCTTTGATGGAATAGCTGTATAATTTCCAAGAATCCTGCAATGAGTAAATGAACTTTCTTAACCTGTTCTCAGCCTAAAAAGTTAAACCATCATCAAATGAATGCAATGCTCTGATTTACTTACCTTCTTTTTGTTTCTTTTTGTTTTACTTGCCTTCACTTTTCTGTTTTATAAAATGTTTTTTGTAGCGTCAGACTGGGAGAAGACACAGGTTGTAAAATTATTATATATTGAACTCTTCTCTGGATAGTCGTTTCTTTGTGGAGAAAGCTTTTGTGACCTGACATTCAGCAAAGCCATCTTCTAGGCTCCATTTCATTGACAGGCCACAAACACATGTGGATCCACTTTGACTTTTGGACTTGGAGATGTAGAAAGCAAAGCACCTGTTTAAGTAATTTGCTGAATCAGGGCCACAGTTAACTGAAACATCAAAAAATTATGTAAATACAGGTTTATAGCTTAACAGAATGAACATGCTTAATATACAACTGAACAAAGAATTTATTGAGTGAATCTCTCTTTGTGTCTGCTTTTGAAATAGCTCTGACCACATCCTGCTTTTTTTAAATATTTATTTGCTATTTGAATGTAGTCAGCAACTACCTTTAACAAATTTCTTTTTTGATTTTCTGGTTTGATTATTTAACATTTGAGATTTATTGTTTGATGGGATACCTATTGAAAGGACTGGAAAGATTCCCATTGGCTTCAAAGGACCAAGAATTGTGCCCGGAGCTCTGGTACAGCAAAGCATTTAGACACGTGTTTAAACACTGATGCTTTCAATGGGACTTGAGCACATGCTTAAGATAAAGCATGTGCTAGGGCTTTGTTGCATAGGGAAGCACTTCAGCACATTCTTAAATGCTTTGCAGAACTGGCGCTACAACTACCTCTGCTGCTAGCGACATTTTTTACTTTTATGGAGAAAAAGTAAAAGCAGTAGAAGAAGTTACTGTTACTTTGAGACAAAAATATATCCAGCCTTGAAAGGGTGGACTTGCCTCCTGTTTGTTCAACAGAAAGTTTACATACACTGTGATCTATTTTTGAAGAGTAGAATTTAAGACTATCTTAATAGGAGATGAATGAATATTTTTCCAGCCCTTTTCAACAGTTTTAGTTTGGCACTTGTTTAAGGTGTTATTAATGTGCACATTGAAGAGAGTCTTAGATCCCTCAGTAGGTCTCCATCATGAAATGCCTTTTTCAGCCTGTGACAACTTCTGCCTACTACTCACCATCCACTTTTAGTTGTCTCCCTGTTATCACTTCAAATGCTTTCCAGACAGTGAAGAAGGAACAAGAACGCTCAAATTAATGTTGTCTTCTCTAACCGTGTGCATTTTCATTAAAACTTTCTTAGGCCCTCATTCCCACACACCTTTCCCCTGAAAGTGAGAGAAATGTGCCTCTGCCAACTATTTATCCTTCATTAGAACTAAATATCAGCCTAAACAGACAATCAGGAAATGCAAGATGCTGAGTCTTAAAAATTTGCTTCTTATTTTTTTCCTTTGGAGAACTGAGCCTGTACCAGATGAGACGAACACCGTCACACTTCAGCTAAAATATGAGCAGCCAGGAGCTACAGAAAGTATCAGTGAGTCCAAGGTTCAAAAACCTCATGGTTTTTCTAAATGAAGCATTCAAAGAGAAAGCCTCCTCAGAAAATGGGGGTGGTCATGTTCCCCTGCTCACAAAATCTCTGACAGAAATCCTGTGGAGTTCCAGAAGAGTAAAACTTTACCACTCAAAAATGAGTTTGTCTTTGAGCTTCAGTGAAGTGAACAGTGAATATATTTAACCAGTTCCAAACTGTCTTGGGCAGTTTTAATAGTCTTGACTATGCTTATGATGCAAATAGTGTAAGAATTCTATTAAACAACCTTAAAGTGCATTTGCTCTGTAACTGGAACATGTGGTTGGAATTCCTATTGACATATCCAGCCTAGCTGTAATAATTGTGCAGCCTGATGGAGTTAGAGCCCAGCTTGCCCTGGTGACACATGCTGACATGGTCGAAGGTGAGCAGCCACTCTGCTCATGCCAGTATTTCAGCTAATTCATTTAAAATCTGGCTTTGATATAATTACCTCAAATACAACTACAGGTGAAGATGCAGAAAGGGGCAAACTTAAAACATGTCCACACAAAGTCATGCTACTTTAATAAAACTGATAAAAAACCCACTTAAGAGTTGTCTCAAATCTAAAATCTAAAAAGAAAAAGAAAAAAAAATTAAAGAACCACTGATAGTCCAAGGCTAAATATATGAAGATTAGGCTCAAAAGAACAGGAGAGTAGAAAAGACAGAACATGACACAGGCTATCTCATGTTTTCAGGTACTTTGACTTTTTAAAATGTTTCTTCAAAGCATTATCTTTTGGAAGAAAAAACTTTTTTATTTGGTTACTGTTCTTCCCTGATACTTCAGAGCTAATGGTTGTTTCATCAATAAAATGGAAAGAGAACACAGAAGTACAGATTTTGCCAAACTAAAAGGTATGAATAAGGAAAATCTTTTTTCTCATAGGTACATAATGAGGAGAAGTTATGGAATCATTATGTTAATGAAATAGTTTCCTGTTTTCCCACCTCTTATTTTTAATCTGTCTTGGATGGTCTTAAACTTTTTTTAGCCTAGAAACCTAAACAATATCTCCTTGAGAAACCTTACCTGAATGAAATGAAAGCTTTCACAGCCAGTACTGTTCTGACCACATTAGTGTTCATTTTTTCAGGACATGGGTTTCACCCTCTGCAAGCTGTTGTGCAGTGAACAGGAGCCCATGCCAACTCCTGAATCTCTGTCTACTTTCTGCAGAGCATAATTGGCCTTTGAAACCACCTCGGGTAAGGCTTTCTGGGATGATTTTGCTGTTTCTGTGTTGCAAGTGTTACTGGTTTGGAGTTAAGGCAGAAGACACCTTTAGTATTCAGAAGAAATATTTGGAGACAAAATAAATAAAAAAGAAAAAATAGAAGGGAGTCAAACAGGTAATTATTTGTAAAGGAAAAAACTATTGATTTTCCTTTTGATACATAGTCTAAATTATCCCTCAAGAAAAGTAGTAATGTATCTTTAAACAGATTTATTACTTATAACAGTAAAAAAAAGCGGCTTATTTAACTTCAATGCCGTTACTGTTTTCATTTGATACAGAGATGGAACAAAAATACAGACACTGGAGAGGAAGTTTGATTCGGGGATCAAAAAGATTCAAGGAAATTCCAGGTCTCAGAAGACTCTAGGACTCTCCCACAGCTTTCATTTTTTTCTCCCACTTTCCAGTTTTCAGGTCCCCAGCTCCCCATCCCTCCTGTCGGTGTGTACAAGAAGACTCCTTTATCCCACAGCTACAGGCTCAACCCTTCCTTGGAAGGCAATGTTTTTGCTGCACAGGTGTCCACTACAAGATGTATATACTGTTTTCTACTCAAAGTTGTCTCATATACACTCAGATCTGGAGGCAAAGGAAGTCCATCAAATCAAATCCAAAATTACACTATTACCACAGAATAATAATTTATTGTTGGGACTTCACACTGATACTTTTCTACCAATCTGCTGCTCTTGCAGGCTTTTTTTTCCCCCTGGCATTCCTAATAGTTCATCTGTAAAGGTAGTCCATAAACCAATCTTATGCACAAGGAAAGTTAAAGGCAAAATTACAGTGTGTTACAGTATAAAAAACCCTGCAAATGGCTATGATTTTCCAAAGTATAACCAGGTGTCTGGCTGGCTAGCTGGCTGGCTGGATGGATGTATGACAAAAGAGAAACTCTGCATAGTGTCATTGCCAGTGAAGTTTAGACAGACTCTGTTTCTCACCTTTGAGCTTCAGGTTCAGATTTACCTGTATTTGCTGAAGGGCAAGACACAGCAGAATTTTACCAGAAGACACTTCATCATGATTCTGCATTTCCAGCATTGTCTCCTCCCATTTTTTCCTGAGTCTGTTCTCTGGAGTCAAATGGCATAGATGCAGTCACTCTTCAAGCAGTCTTTGGTGGGAGTACTAACTTGTGTCTCTTTCTTCTACCTAGGACATATGTGCATAAATTCTGTGGGATCCTGATCCCCCAAACCCTCCCCAGCAGTTTGAGAAGGTGGGCAGGGCATTCAGGAGTTTTTAGGGAAAATCTGATGGACACTCAACTCACTCAGAATGAGTCTGATCTCTTCTTCTCAGGAACACCAGGAAAAAGACAAGAGTCTGCATCACTGGAAATGCTGTCTCTTGTGGTGATAAGAAAAGGCTTAAGAAAGCGACCATGACTTTTACAGTCTCTTGCAAGAGGAACAGCAAAAACACACATGAAGATAATTCTCTTTGAAATAATTTCTTTGTGCTTGAATGGCAACTGGGCAGGAAAAGAGTGATACACGCAGATTAGGTCACAAATACTTGTTCTGGGAGATTACAAGCATATCACAAAGCGATATTACTGGTATCCTGGTGATATCCCTGTGGGGTGTAATGAAATGTACAAAACACAATGGCAGTAAGGGACTTCTAGAGTATTTGAAGACTATATAACCAAAAGATGGCTCCAGCCAGTCAATGTGATGATAATGTGTAAATACATATACATGCATGCATGCATGGATGAGCAGCAGTGATGTGCTATTGTATGTCAGTTATTGCACTGGGACCTTTGGACAAGATGGAAGATACAAGCACCATTATTGGAGCAGAGAAGACAGGAGGAAGATTATTTATTTGCTATTGTAAGGGGCCATGACAACATCACTGTGTAGAACACAGGATGAAATAACAATTCTAGCTCTTATTCTCCCTCATGCTCAAGGACCTTCATGCACACTTGCACTCTCTTGACATCTGCTGAGAGCAAAGGCAAAGACAGAAAAACAATATGTAGACAGCTATAGAAAATAAGGACTCCTTTTTCAAAAAAAACAAAAAAGTTGAATATTCTGTCCCATTGTTTTATACACACTGAGACAAATACCAAGCACAACTTATAAAATGGTTTGTAATGATTTAGAGTTTTCTCCTTCACAAAAAAAAAAAAAAAAGTGTTCTTCTTTCAAAAGAATACTAATCAAAATTGTACACCACCTCACCTCCAAGAAGAAGCACGAGAAAGGTTAGGCAAAAAGCATCTGTGGTTTCCCTTTGGCCTCATGTGATTGCAATGCTTGTGTCCTAGCCAAGCCAGTGATTCAGAAAAGGTCAGAATTCACCCTGTTTCACTTTTCCAAACCATATCAAGCAGTCTTCAGTCACCAAGGAGGGTCTGACCCAGATTTTGTCTCTTTCTTCTTAGCTCTTTGCCTGTACCTTTTGAGCAGCTACTTCCCCAGGCCAACTTCCTAAGCCTCATCATCTCCCTCTCATGTGCCAAAACAATCTTATTGCTTTCAGGTCTTTTACTCCCTTTGATCTCTCTTTCTCTGTGGACATATTGCCCTTCTCTTTCTTTTCTCCCAGAACCCCACTTCTCCTTTCCTGCAGATCCTCCAGGTTGATTTCTTCCTCATCCTTCTATTCCCTCAGGTTTTTCCCATATTATAGACACAAGACCCAACTCTTTATTACAAATTTTTCCCTTAGTAAGGGTGGGGGAGGGAACAGGGAGAAGGTCTGCAGCTTTTCCAAATGTTGTGTTGTTGGGAATACTTCCCTTATTGTGCCTGTCTAAAATAGAGTTTATACAGGTGGCAGAATGAAATGTGCCATCTCGTAATTAGTCCCACATGCACTGCAGGCAATTTATCATCAAAACAATCAGCAGTCACCATTTGATTCAGTGAATACCAGAGATTATCAGAAAATTGAGCTGAGGGAAAGGAGGAAAAAAGATAGAGCACTTTGGCTTTTGTAAATTTTTTCTCCTTTTATTTTTCCCCCAAAAATATCACTTTCCCTCTAAAGTAGTGACCAAGCCAAATGACACTATAATGAATAGATTCACAGAAGAGCTGTTGTGTTGGCCTTTAAAACTTTTCTCTCCCTCTGAATTTGTTGTATTGGACTTTCTTGTGTACTTAATAAACTGTTTCAATAACAGCAATCATCACAAATGTGCTACTGGTGAGGAGGGTGTTCTTTTTCTTAAATGAGCACTGCTGCTCTTTTTAGTGACGGTGAGACAGTTTTTTCTGTCTCTTTTGTGCAAGAAAATGTGCATGGCAAACTCTGGACACTCATTCCTAAGTACACACACACACGCACACACACTCATACATATTCAGGCACATGCACTCATACATGGACATAGCTAGAGGTGTTAAATGCCCCAGGCAAAAAGAGGTGTGAAGACATTTCCCCACAAAATAATTAAGGATTATTAAAGTATCATTTACTGCCAGTACTTTTTATGTAGAAACCCAGTATTTAATGGGAAAACAGGATGCTGAATGGAAAAACAGGATGCAGGATGTCATCCAGCTCAGAGGAGCTGCTGAAATTCATGTATCAGAGTAATCAGGGTAAAGAAGAGAAATGTCTGCAGGGAGAGACAGCAGTAGCCCCATGGCCCTGCATGAGGGCATGTCTGCCTCCACCCTACATGCAGGAAGTGTGGACATATATTATCTTCCTGAAGGGCTGTGCAAGAATGTTCAGTGACATGGGGCTTGCTTGCTCTATGTCATTAAACCATTCACTGGAGGGCATAGCCCCCAGGGTAGTCACCAGCAGACAAAAGCACACAAGTATTCCTGATGTTTTGAGGAGTTTTTTGCTACACACAAGCTTCAGAAAAAAAAATAGTGGGAAAACCAATAAACTTTTCTCTTACAGACTCTCCCAAGAACTGCTCAGCGTTTCTCCTTCAATAGCTGCAACTCTTCCCTGTCCCAACCTCTTGCAGCCCCTCCTTGTACCAGATACTGCTAAAAAACCTCACAAGACAGCCTTTAAAAATTCTTCCACCACACGTTACAAACTGATCATTACAGTCTATGAGTCAAACCGAGTTTACTTTTTAAACAAAAGATGTGTCAATAAGACAAATGTTCCCATGTTAACTTCAATTACCATAGACATTCCTGGTGATGAAGAGTGTTTGATCTATTGCTACTTCTTCAGGGCAACTTCCTTTTGCAAGAAAGGCTTGTATTGCTGTGTTCTCTCTATCCTCTGCTTCCATTCTATCAATGTTCCTTTTGTTTCAGAGGCTCTTCAGTTGAATTAATATACTGATCAAAGGCAGAGAACTGAGTTCAGGCTGAGCTTAGTAAATCTAGAGTTGCATGAAAGATAAATTGCACTGTTGGAATGGATCCTTTGAGGTGAAGTTTTACAACAGGTAGATAGGTGAAGGTCGTGTTATTTTAGCTACAATACAGCATTACTGAAGTAATTGTTTCAAAATAGTGCAATGTTTTACTACTGCACTGTTGAACATCAGCTGTGATACACACTTACCAGAAACCACTATGTCCTGCATATTCTGCTATTTAACATAAAATACCAAATGCAAACAAAATATTTCCCTACCCTACTGTGGACAGTGAAAGTCATCTGTGATGGTCCCTGACTGAATTTGTTGTATAAAGGTCTTTAAGCACAGGACATGGCAAACACAAAATCACACATAAAGGGAGTTCAAAGTAACTTGACTTACTGCCCTTCATTAAAACACTTCCTTCAGAGTGGACATGAAAACACCAAAAAAAAGTCCTTCTCTAGCTCTTAGATGAAGAATTCATTGGCTGTACATGTGCAGCACACAGCAAAGTGCTATCATCTGCAACTGAGAGTTTACCCCACATCGACAAGACAAATAAACAATGATCCTTCACAGCTGCTTTAAGGCCGGCATTTTTCTCTGTACCCTTAAGCACTGACAAAGGACACAAACAAGGCACCCAGGAACACCCAAGCCTGCTCTGCCATCAGGTGTGGTGAGGGGAAGAAGGCAGAGTCAGGAAGAGCAGTCAATCATCACCCTTCCCAGTCCTCACCCCTCTCTCCTTAGTCCTTTCGAGTAGTCTTGCTACTGCAGACAGCAGAGAGGTCTTGAGCAACATCCATCCTCCTCCCCATCTGTGCAGAGGCTGGACAACCCTCCTTGTGGACACACGTAAAGTCTTGCTTATAAGGCACAAAAATTTTTGGCTCACGTGGAAGTTACTCTACCATGTGCCACATGGACTGACATTTGCAGCTCCTAGGGCAGGGTGGGTCCAAAGGAAGGTCTCAAATCCACATAATGTACCCTATTGTAGCCAAACAATAGGCTTCCAATAATAAATTGGAAGACATCTGAGAAAAGCCTCATTTTTAACAGCTTTGCAACCTCCTTATGTCTAGCTGTGCCAATAAAGGCACAAGAAAAGGAATGAGTGGAGGTCCCCAGCTCCCAGCTGTATCTAACAGACTGTGGAGACTGTGGAGGTGGGTGGCTCCCCTGCTGTTTACAAACCAGCACTGGTGGGCTGTTAACACTGGAAGCAACAGTACTTCACCAATGTCATCACTTAACAATATAATATGACAGCATGTATAGAACTGATTAGCATAAATCAACATAATACCCACTTTGCAGCATTAGTATTGAAAACTTTCATCCTCAAGTAGTGGGGAGGACACAATACGTGATGAATTGCAATGATTTTTCTGAAGTGCTCGCACATGGCAAGGTATGTTTGCACAGTGTGTGCGTGTGAGGCTGCACACACATGTATTTTAAGAATATGCACAATACTGTAAGTTACGGCATTAGTTTCTGA